ATTTTACCATTATTAACCCCTAAAAAATAGCGGTTTTAATTATTTATAAAACAAAGTTATCAACATGATTTAATGTTTAAATCAATTTATAATAGATATACAATACCGTGTATATAAATGTAATTTTCAGTTAAATAATGACTATTAATGACATTGTTATTCTTTATTATTTATTGTAACTATTGTGTAAATTTTTTGACATATTGTGGAAACAAAGAAAAATTTAAAATAAACAATTGTTATCAATTTTATTGTATAACTATTTGGAGGTTTTCAATTACCATACAACATATTTTGTTGAGAATTACATTTAAGTGAGACATCAAATACAATTATTTTTTTCTTGACTATTGTTTTATTGTTTTTCAAAATACAAAACAACAGTAAATATATGTATTTCTATAATACCACAAATATCACAATCAATTAAGATGGAGGCATTTATTTAATATTATTAGTAATAATTTAATAACAACAGTTAATTTATTGGGTTTTACTGTTATTTGTTTCACTTTCATTTGAAAAACAGCCTAAAATAAAAAAAATGGTTATTGTTAAATATGTAAACATGAAATGTTAAACTACAAATTCAAAATATAACATCAATATCAAGAGAATAACACAATTTAAAATATTTTTAAGTTCGGACTTGTGGCTCACATATACATACACATAATATATTAAAATCAATAGTCTAAGGGAAATTAATACATTTAATTAATAGACAACTTCTTTCCAAGTTGAAATAGAATCAACAATTACATTTGTATTGACATTATTGTATATATTTTCTTTATAATTGAAAATACAGTCTGTTAAATGTTAATTAATGTTTATTAACCATATATAAACTGTATATTTTAAAATAATTGAATAAAAAATTAACCTTTTAATTTTGGTTGTGCTCAAATAAAAAAATAATACATTTCATATGAATTTTAACTTTATATTAATAATAAAAAAGAGAAAACACTGCAAAAATAGTAGTTAAGTAGGTTTTAAACGCTTTCTTCTTATTGACCGCTTTTTGATTTTATATATAAAATGATATTAAATAATAAAATGATTGGTACTGTTTACCACTTAAGCTTATATATACAATATAAAAACTTTTTCAATACAAAATGATAATTTGCATTATATTTTTTATTATATTATTTTAGTTATAACTTTAAAAACAATATGTTGTAAAAAGCAGATTATCAACTTTTTGTGTATGTTAAATATGTAATATACTTTATTGTTATTTATAATAATTTAGTTATACATGATAATCTCTATGTTTAATACAATACTTTAATAAGTATTTTTTTATTTAATTGGTATATGTAAATATATGATAACAACTAAGAAATTATTTTTTTTAATAAGTGTTGTATTATTTAATCATGAATCATCAATTAAAATATTCTTTGTTTAGTTATACATATAAACACATTTCAAGTATAAATGTATCATAATTATATTTTTTTAAAATTAGATGATAGTGTTGTTATAGATGGTTGTTTATCTACATTTTATTTTGTTTTGACTTTTCAAATTAGCAACAAGTTAAATGATTCAGATATTAATTTATATAAATTAACCATGTGTTGTTAATATACTTTTTTGTGTATGTTTTAGTAATAAATTGAGATTGTTTAAAAGAATTTAATTGATATTTTATTTGTCACTTGGATGTTATTTATGTTTATTGTTAAGTATATTAATAAATATGAGTATAATTACATTATTATTACTGTTATTAATAAATGTGAATTGTCGTTTACATTTGTATTGATGTTGAATATATTTGTACACATCAGAATGTCAAGGAAAACACTGAAATAACAGATGTTTGTGAATATTGATCTCATATACTACTTGATATACAACAAAGAACAAACAACTAATTTAGTTGTGTTTTTGTTTGAAAGTTTATTAATTGGGGTTTTGATACAAACAAAATGTTGTGGAAATCATGATCATGATATTTGATATGTTTGATATTTTATTATAATTTTTGTAATTATGTCTTGATCTAATATTATTACCTTTTTAAATATGTACATTGTTTTTTATACTAAGATGTACTTTGAAAATTTTTTATTTATAATTACAATTGTTTTAGTGTTTGTGAGACATCTGAATATTTTTTTCATTTTACAAACATTGAAAAAAAATAATTCGGCAAAATAAAATTTTGTTTACATATAAAAACAAATAATCTATTTATATAATTTTTATTTTTGCCATCCATGGAAACTGGTTTGTCCAGTGGATAGAAAAAAAAGATACATGTTTCCAGTGGATGGGTCTCATCCAGTCTAATGTCTTAACAGTATGAAAACTTTATTTTATTATTATCAAACTTTTTATATTTAAAACTTATATTTATAAATATTAGTTAATAAAAACTATTTTAATTAAAAAAACTGAAAAAAATTTTGTAGTTTTTTGTTACTAATTATTAAACTATATAATAGTTTATTTAAATTAAAACATAACAATAAAAGTCTTGCATATAAAAAAATTTTACTCCAAACAAAATAACCATACAATATATCAAATAAATCTATTTATACATAATATTGTCAAATGCATAAGGGAATTCTTTCATACAAAACAAAACAACAAATATAAAAATATTTGATCAAAAATCATTTATTTTTATTCACTTTGTCTTCTTAGTCACGTTGCAGGAGGTTTCGTTCATTTTTCTTATCAATTTCCACAACTTGAGGCTTTTCGAATAATCTCATGTAAAAGTACTCTGCCCCAAGCAACAACTGCACAACGAAGTAAGATGACTCTTGCAACTTGAACGTTTACAAATATAACACATTTTTTGGTTCTTTTCAGCTTTTGTAGACTTCCTTTTTTCCCTTTCCCTCTGCCTCCCCGCTTTTTATCTTTTACGATCTCTTGTTGATCATTTTCTATTTCCATCATTGTCTTCCTTTCACAACAACATGTGAAACACAATTCATTTGCACATTCTTCATCCAAAACCATATTTTTTCTATAAATTTCATCAACTTGTTTCCACGCATCCATTTTGAATTTTTGCAAATTGGAAATAATTGAAATAAGCTCAGGTTTGGATCTTTTCCCACAATTTTTCTTGATGTATTCCACACAAAGCTCTTTTGCTAAATTTCTCAAAAATATTTCGTGGTCAAGTTTATCATCAAAACACCTGCTGATAACAAATGTATTTGTCATTGTCATTTCCAAAATGTTTTTGAACAGAGCAAATGTACACCGAAAAGATCTGAAAGGAATCGGGAATTCATCACAAAGAAAATTAAAAATATCAACGGGAAACTTCATTTTATTGTAGACGTTATTAACATTTGTTTTTTTATTTTTTGACTCTTTTCAAATACCCATATTTCAAGGAATGTTTTAGCGATGAAAACACTTTTGGTTTTATTTGGATTGAAAGTGTTCAATAATATG